AAGGGGATGGGTAATTTTATGACCAATAATGATGTCTATAGTTATGCACACTAAGAAGTATATGCTACCTCTCTTCAAGCATAAACTGGCTGCCACAGAGTACTAACAAGATGTGTCTCCATGACTGCCTAGGAATTTTCCACCACCACCATGAGTGTGTGTGCACATGGGTGGCCAGGTGCCTTATGATGGTGGGAATCTCATTCCCCTGAAGCTATTGCCAGAAGATTTAATGAGCCAATGGTCTGATTCACCGCCAAATCCGATCTTTGAAAAGACAGTTGTGTGTATTTAAAAAAACAAAATAATCTCCCTCTAGAAAACTGATTATTCTTTTAGGAACAAAGGTTTAATTAAGAGACTGGATGCATCTGTTGTAGGTGTTGGGAGGGAAAAGGAGAGAGAGAGAAAATGGAAGCTGGTGGCAAAGGGACAGCTTTCCAAGATGTAGTGTGAAAGATGCAATATCAAATAGTGATTTCTGATATGAAATCTCAACTTTATAAAAGGGAAAAGCTAACTAACTTCCATACAAAAATGCTATGAATGTCATAAATTGTAGGTGCATCCTTTCAAGGCAAATATTGTTTATATATTTGGAATAATACACAAGGATGATTCAGGTAATATGATGGGGATTTAAAATGCTGACATATTTTGATGAATGACTGAGCATAATAAAACCGGAGAAGGGTAGGAATATTACTAAGGGGCTATACTAAATCTGAAGTGAGAAATGTATAGGTTTCGCTGCATATCATTTCTATTCAAGAGATCACTTAATTGTGAAAAATAAGCCAAGACCCAAATTCAAAGGTGTGGATTATCTAGTTTTTTTTTCTGATAATTTATTGTAATATAAAAAGTTAATAAATGCTTAAGAGGGAAATTAGTAGAAGAAGCAACACATGATTTTTGACTTCAGGAAAGAGAATGGACTTTTGCTTTCTATTCTAGAATATGTGGGAAATAATCAATATTTCTATTTTTTTCTGCAGTGTATCTAAGAAAAATGAATTCTGGTTAGGTCTAATAAGGAAGGCAGTTATTCAGAGTAGTATAAAAATAATAAATAAGACTTTTAATAAACATAAAATAATCCTAATATAGGGAATGGGAGAGCACTAAAACAAATGCAGTAATTAAAAGGATGACTAAAGCAACCCAAAAAAATGGTCTTTTTCTCATTGTGCATGTGATTCCGATTGGCACTAATGAGCTACATGCTTATAGTGAGAAAAGAATAAGAGCTTTCTTTCTATTCATCAGTTTGAATAACTCTCTTTTTAAGCAGGAACCCTGCAATTCCATAATTTCAAGTACCAGTTTGTGCTGCACAAGATATAGAAGTCTGTAAATTGTTTTTATGTATTTGGTGCAGATGTAGTTTGTAAATAGTGAGTTGAGAGTTAGTGAAATAAAAAAAGATGTCACAGCTGTTTAAATGAGGTGAAGCAGTAGTCATGTTCTTGTTTTCTTATAAATTATTTTCATTTTATTGTGGGGCAGTGACATTACCTATTTCTTTCCGATAGGAACGTTACTAGCATCACCCAGAATTTTGTCACTTCCATATAGTGTTACTGCAGTGTGTATTGCATAAAGCTATGGCTGAAGATAACTCAGGAGTTGCAGCTTGATGCAGAATGCAGCAATCCACTTACATAGCTTTTGACATGCCGGAGCTTTCTATCCTCTGGCAGAGCAGTTGAGGTCATCTTTGGAGTTGAGCTAATGTTCTCTTAAGATAAAATCTCTTGGGTGTAGTAATGCAGACTCAACAGAAGAGTATGCTTCCCAAGAAGCCGTAAGGGAACAGAGTAAAAGCTCATATGCTTACACAGCCTTTTGCCTGGTGTGTAATGGATATATATTTTGTTTGTTTCTTTTGCTTTTCTGTTAACTGAATTGAGACAATGGCAGGAGTATTTATATAAATAAAACAAATTTTGTTTTGTTTATGGTAAAACTAATAATAAAAACAGAAATAGGAGTTCTTTATTTCCATTTTGTTTTCTTTCCTTTTATTGGCCAATAGGTACACATTTCATTTACCATGTAGTGGTTTCACTTACAGAGCAATGTGTACATGGTTTGTTTTGGGGTTTTTTTGTCTGAGAATTCAGTGTTAGCTGTTCCTGGTGGTTAGTTGATTTGGTCGCAAAGGTCATTTGGAAATTCTGCCTCTGGACTTTTTTTTTTTTTTTTTTGTACTTATCTCACTAACTGAAATAAAAATATATCCAGTAAGTGTTATAAGAAGGGGAAAACTGACTTCAACATTATGAGCATTCTTGATCTTGTAGACTCATTGCACAGCTTGTTGCTACTGTAGCTTTCTGAATTATGAAATCGAATCTTTATATATAATTTTTACTTAGTGCCAAGGTCAATAGAGCATCCTAAATGGGACTGGCGGAGAAAACCGGAGAGCCAGGAGTTTGATGAATTAAATCATATTCTTCAGGAGAGTAAGAAGCTGGGGAAAGCCCTTGAGAATCTCTCTCGCAGTAAGTTGATTTTAATTTTTTTAATGTGACTGTGGAATATTGATCTTACTAATATATTATAAATATGTACTAAAGGTGGTGGTTTTTCTTTTACACTGGTGTCATTTAGGAGTAACTCCACTGAAGTCAACAAAGTTAAACTGGGTAAGTTAAAGGGAGATCAGGGACACGGTTCTCTTAAAATAAAATTTTTAATAAAAAAAAACAAGCCATTTTATGGCTTTGATCCCAATAAACAATCACTTACTTATGTAAACCAGCTTAAGAATTGTAAATGATATTGGTTTAAACAGAAAAAAGTAATTTTTTTTTTAGAGAAGATGTAAACGGCGTGCTACGAAGCACACATGAATTTTTTTGTCCAAATGGGGCCATGAAGTAAAACAAAGGCAAATGCAGCATTTTTTGTCCCTTAAAAGACACCAGTTGTGGGGGTGTTTGTTTGTTTGTTTGTTTTTTAATTTTTGGGGGGGGGGGGGAGAAGGGTGCTATTACAGATATATTTCCCACACAAAAAAAAGGCAGGCCTTAAATCCATTCTTTTCCCTGGGATTTGCCATCATGGTGGAAAAACAAATTAACCCAATGTGGCTAGAATCCTAGAGCTGAAATATAATCACAGGAAAAACTAATACTTTTAACAATCAATTAACCAGTTAATTGGACCAGTAGTGCCAGTCTAACAGTTGTACTATGCCAAGTCTTAACTAGGGAGAAAGCAAATTGCCAATGTGTGAAAGTTGACTTATTTTAAAGAGTGATAACTTGCCACTTCAGTGGCTGGAAGGGACTGCAGGTGTGTGGGAACCACATGTCCTCATGGAAACTCATATAGGATGTTCCATAGCACAGTTCTTTATGGCCCCAAAAGTCAAAGCTTTCCAGATGTTTCTGCGGTTTGATGTAGTGTGCAGGTGTGTCCTAAGAGTGAACGTCTTGTCTGGCTTTTGGAAGGAGAAGCACACAGATCCCTGTCCCCTTCCGCCCTATGAATCATTATGGCCATTAGCCATGAATGAGGAGGAAAGAAATCTGAGGCTACTGTAGGAACCACTGGTACTGTGTGGCAACTGCTACTCTTCTCTCTTTCACAGCTACCTGCTGTGCTGTAGAGGTAAATAGGAAAGAGTGCAGGGCGGGGCCAGTAGTCTGATGTGTATGTAGGAGGCAGAAGTAGGAAACAGTTCCATAATGCCTGGGGTCCAGATTTAGAGGCTGTGCTTTAATAAATAATAATAATAATAATAATCTCCACAGATGCCTGATCCATACTAACCAACATTCCCAAAGCAGTGGGTGACTCTGGAGAAGATAGTCATCGACAGTGAGGAGGCAGTGCCTCTCAATAGCTCTCCCAAGGAAGAGCTGGCATGCACATGTGTTCCTGCTGTGTAGGGAGTGTTGTCATGAACTACTTAAATACCCTGAGAACACTCTGAAATGCAAGCGAAAGAGCTTTCATAGACACATTACTATCCTCTCTACAGCATACACAGTGCACAACTGAGAGTGGGAAGAAATGCAACACATACCTATGAGAGAACGTTGAATATGCCCATTAAAACCAGATATTTCTGCAGTCTAACTGAAAACACACAATTGTGTGGCATGCAGCTAGATTTTTATCAGTAATGTCACACTGGTTACATGCTTAAGATGTAGTACTTCTTTCAGTAAGGTATAGTTGTTGGTCTGAAACATGCTGTAGTCATTAAAAATGATTTACCCACGATCAGTTACACATCTAGTCCTAAATGCCAGTGTACTGTGGTCTGCTAATTGAACTACAGTACTAGCCATCAGCATTCTGGGATGGTTTCTCCTTTTTTTCTGTTCAACGTGAACTTTCAAATCATGTTGTTCTCGCTTGAGATCAATGTTTGTGATTTTAATTTGAGATTGACGTTTTTAGATAAGTTCAGTCAAACCTGTAAGGAAGATAAAGCTATCTCAGTACTGCAGCTGCTACATGATATATTGCCTTTGCTTATAGAATCTGTTTACTTTTAGTGTGATGTATGGGTAATAAAAGAAAATAATGATATTTGCTAAGATTGAAAAAAGAGGAATCTGCACATAATTATTTCTATTCAGTTCTCAAATTAGGGTTTTCCTTACACTGAGAGAACTGTGGCCTCAGTTGTAAGTATCCTTTTCCTATGCTCTTTAAATTTTTAATTACCTGTGCTGAACTATTTGGCATTTTATTCTAACCTGCTGTAAGTTATAGGACCACATTCATTTTTGAATTACAGCCCTTTGCAGAATAGGAATTTGGTCCTGCAGCCACTGTACATGCCAATCTCCAGAATAGTTAGACAAGTATTCTTTCTTTGGGGACTTAAACTCATCTTTTGGACTGAACACTTAAAGATGGTCCTGTCTGCTCAGCAAGGGTAATAAAGATTAAAGCACTTTTCTCAAGAATGGGATTTATCCAAAACATCGCCCTCCCTCCTTGCTGGACAGCATACTATATACTGGTATATTGCTGCACTGCACTTTGGAGGAGACTGTTTCAGTGGTGTTGTGTGGGTATAGTTTGTAAAGCACTTGAGCATCATTCAAGATGGAAGTCATTATAGAAACATAAAAAATAATTGTGATTAATAATAAAAGGGACAGACACATAGCATCAGACTTTCAATTCAAAGTGTCTTACGGTTATTGAATTCTTACTGGGGAAAATAAAATTGTAGTAATGTCTTGTGGGTGAAGTGACTCAATGGAACATATAAGACTCTAGGTAAGTTAAACAAAATTGGGAAGTCAATTCTTGCTTTTCAGGCTCTGAATCTCAGATTTCATGTCACTTCCCTGTCAGAGTGGTTGATCAGGTTATTCTGTTAACATTGGAACTATTTTTCTCAGATTTTGGACAGAGCCCTGGTGCATGAAAACCAGAATGCTTTACTGAGTAGGAGAAAAATTGGCTCTTGGGAACTCTATGGCCACCTTCTGGCTGATTAGGAAAATGCAACAGTATATTTACATTCACTCTTAATGAATACTACATGAATGAATTACAAGTTGTATATCTTTTCCTAGAATATGGTATACACAGCAACTTACCAGGCATGAGTTTGAGGGGGTGCGCATGTACAGAAGTGATTACAAAAAGGAAAGGAACTGGCCTGAACTAATAAATGACACACATTATGTTCTCTTTCAATATTTTAATTAAAAATGAGTCCCAATGAGGGCAGATGATGATAGATCTCCCTGAGTTTTGAGAGTCATTTTCACTCAGCTATCTTGCTGTTTTAAGTTTTTCGCTGTTTTAAATACATTACATTTTCTTACTACATATAAGTCCATTAACTAGTGTACCATTCATCAGAGAGGAGGTTTTGCATTGCAGGGTTTTTGATGCCTTGTTTTAGGCTAGGCCTAAGCTTGTATATCCCCTAGTGTTTGTGGAAAAAGAACTTGTTGCTGTTAAATTTTTGACACCAGATGCTAAACATTGCTCTGTGAAAGGCTGTAGTCACAGAGTGAATGAAAGTTAAAATACACTATACTGTGTATTAACGATATTTGGTTTTATTACAATAGAGCAGTATGAATTATACTCTACTACAAATGACGACTACATATAAGAGCTAAGAATTATTATTAATAATGTATACCCTTTCTAACTTTCTCCTTTAAAAAAAAATATTTTGAAAGTGCACTTATGGCTCAGCATATCAAAGTTAGAGAAATCTGCCCAAAGACAAATTTGCTTTCTTTACTATGGAAGATATTATTCCTAGATTGAATGGAATCAACCTCTATTCATTACTTCATGCTGGAAATCCATTTTAGGCAGAGGACCCTGCCTCCAGACACTGGCACAATGAACATGTTTATTTCTTCACTCTGACAGTACTGTTACTACAGATTGCCACAAAGAAATCTCCCATCCACAACAGAAAATGAGAGAACAGCTTTGAGGACAAAGAGGTGATATATTTATGGGCAGTATATTAATCTATGCTGATATAAAAGAAAAGCATGACAAACAATTGACCAGTATTCTAAATGTAAAGGAGTTGGAGGGTGCATGTAACAGGGTGGCTTCTCTCATTCTTAGGGCCCTACCAAATTCGTGGTCCATTTTGGTCAATTTCACAGCCATAGGATTTTAAAAATTGTAAATTTCATGATTTCAGCTCTTTAAATCTGAAATTTCACTGCTGTTGTAATTGTAGGGGTCCTGACCCCAAAAGGAGTTATTAAGGGGGTTATTGTAAGGGGGTTG